GTTGGGAACGGAACTCGTTCTTAAACTGGGGATTACCTGTATTCAATAAATGAAGTGACAGCTCTGAGATGATAAAATATGATGAAACAATCCCCACCATAAATTTGCACAGTATTATTTTGAGAAGATATCAAAATCTGGGACTTCAAGGGAAGAAATGGTGAACTGAAGATGGCTCCATAAAAGCAGAGCCAAAAACCGCAGCGGAATGAAGAGTAGACCAGCTCTTCGTAATTCCTCTCCAGACAAGGAGAGGACCTGAGATTGCCCACAAGTGCTCCTTACAGATGCTCTTGGTCAGCCCCTTTAAGGACACTGCTTTCCAGCTATTAGGAACCTTTGGATCAACAAGTGAGTTTCCTACAAACCTTAGTGAAAGAAGTTTTAAATTCAAGTTTAAGGACTTAACTTTTTTTTTTTCTGGAATAAACAGCAAAAGGGTGATTAAAACTTTAATTTTAGAAAGTTACAAATGGACTAAGGGTCCAGATGGATTTGAAATAAGATTAAAAAACAAAAACAAAAATGATAGGATGGAACTTTGAAGGTTGGATGCTAGAGGGAACTAGAAGGAACTAAAGATTACAATTAAAGGAGAACACCACTTAAATTTGACTTACTAATACAGAATGGAGCAAAATATTTTAACATTGAACATATTGAAGGATATTTTTGAACAATGGATCCAGAAGTTAATTTTAAGAGTGTCTGCCTCTATAGATAGACTGTGTTTAAAAGATGTTATGGAAGAGGGACAAGTTTTACAGGACAAAACTAAGATTGATCTGAAAGTGTATTTACAAATTACAAGCTACAAGAATGATATGGAAAAAGATGCTATATTGGACATACAAAAGAAAGTGGCTGATGTCTTATTAAAAGGGATATACAAATAAAAAACCAAGAGAGTGACCTGGAAAATCCTCCTATACTGGATTTATAAAAGAGGCTATGTTTGAGATCTAATTTTAGCAAACTACACTGAATAAAAATAAAATACCCAGCACTGCATATCGTGGTTTTCTTGCAAATTTTAAGTACTTTATTTTAATACTACATACACATAGTGTGAGGGTCTTTATTTAAACAAACATTTACATTTATTTATATTTTTGTAAGTGAGGCATGCCTTCTTTCCTTCCTTCCTTTTCCCAAATCAATGAGAACATAAATACAAAACTTAAAAGTACATGGTCTTTTAAGACAGGCCTGAAAAAATAGGTAATAAAAATAATGTACAAACCAACTTTACTAAGCCATAGCTATTGCTAAGACCTTGGCAATTTTTTAGTGGTTGCCTATATTTGGTCTTATAGGAAGAAGTCTGAAATCTTTTGGTCAGAGAGGCAACTAATATTTCTAACAATCAGATTTAAAGTGCCAGGTGCCTTCAGGCCTCTCTTTGGTTATTCTTCCCTCTCTAGTACGTGGAACAAACATTTATCTGAATGGTTAGGAGAAGTGGAAAGGGAAGCGTCTTTCCAATTCTCCTAACCATAGCAAATGATCTGAAGGAAGGAAGGAGAAACACACAGCATATAGTATTACAAGACAGCAATACATTTTACTAAACTGGAAAAAGAGAGGTAACTCAGCAAAGAACTGCCAATTTTAAGAAAGAAAACTAACCCCAAACTCTGTAGTAATAATTGTAACTTTTACTTTGAGCAAAATAAAAATTAAAGTAGATATTAATTAATTCTAAAATTTAGTCCAATTCAGGACTTTATGTTTTTGTTATCCTGGTGTACCTGTGACTTGCGAGCTATAGGAATGTCCAAGGAGCTTTCTCCTTCACTGGCTGCCAGTTTTTGGGAAGTAAATAGGAATTACTAAATGTAGTGGTATGGTGAAAAAGGATTGGTGATAAAAGTGAAAACAGTAGGGAAATTTAAGAAAATGTACTTCTCCTTGGGACAATTTTTCCTTTAACCATATCTATGTTCTCCATTTGCATGCTCTCCTCATACTAACCGTAAAACTTGTGGGTCTTGACCCCTGCCCCCCACTTCATGATATACACTTCAGTGTAGAACTGAATAAATATATTTAGGAAAAAAGCTACAAAAATGGCCAAACAAGAATATCAATGGTACAACATGCATATGTACTTTGATTATTGTGAGTCACCCAGAGTTGTTGACTACATTTTCTGGTAGTGTTGGAAGGAAAAACGTCCTCTTATCTGTCTTACAATCTCCCCATATTTAATTTTATGAAATGACCTTGGGGTCTAGAATAATGTTTCTTTATCCATTTTTTTACAAAATATATATCCTTGTCATGCTTTCTTCAGGGCTACAAAGCTTCAGATATTTTGAGTTTTCACCATAGCAGAGTCAATCCAACTTTTTCATCACCTACGTTACCATCTCCTAAAATATCTACATAGGTGAAATGCATTTTTATTGTTCATTTATTGATTTAATATAGAAAAAAGAGTGGGAAAAGGGGAAAAACAATCAGAAAAAAAGGAAAAAGGGAACAAGACAAATGGTATATTACATGTAGAAATTCATACAGCCAAATTTCTAAACACAGCATTAAGTCTTGATCACAAGAAATAATATTGATAATCTTTCTATTACATTGTTATAGTGTCAGTTTAAAACAGAAAGCAAATATATACTGATAAGCCAAGATTATAGATTGGGATTTATTGTGTCTTTCACAAACGGACAAGTAATGGTCTTCTCCAAGTTTATAAGGAAAAAGTGAACACATACTGTATCAACATTGTAAATCTGGGGTTGCGCTGCCTTTTTAACATTAAAAAACAATGTTTTGTTCCCACCCTGCTTGATAAATCAATAATTCTTCCTACAGTGATAAGTTCAAGGTTTTTGGAATATATAGATAAATAGTACATTCCCATCATTAAATCTATATTAATCCTTGTAACACACCATAATAATAAAGTGATGGATATTAACCCAAACCAGGACAATAGAACAAACCTATATCATATGAGTAAATGTTGCTAATTTTATACTTCCAATATAGTGAGATTGACTGCCAAGACTTTTAAAATATTCCCTGGGGTATTTCTCAAATGTGAAAAAGCATTTTACAGCATTTATCTTTCCTTATAACTCAATGGATTTTTAACCATGTATGTTATAATTTATCTGGATTTAGTTAGAGAAATTTATCTGAAATGAAAAGTTTGATATTTATACATCCACAGATGAAAAAACGATCCTTGAAACAGGTATTTAAAATAATTCAAGCAACTATTAAAATTATTACAGATGTCTGAACTGTTGAACAATATAAATAAATGGATAATTGAACATAGCATTATAATCTATATGCCAGGGTGACTATCAATATTTCTGCATCAAGATTTAACAAATCAGACAGGGAAAGTCAGGGACAGTTTACCGGCCTTCAAAATCACTATTATACAAGACTCATTGATGGAAGATGGAAAAATCTCACTTAGAAAGCATAATTATAGACTTTCAATAGTACTGGGCAAAGAATCTAGTGTGTCTTATAACACTCAATGGGATAACCATCAAGATAGGGAATTAAGTAGACAGCTTGATCATGTGTAATCTTAGAAACATCATGTATAATCTTATTCAATAAAACTAAATAATTTCTTTCTTGTTGATATTTGACATTATTATACAGTTCAGAGTAAATTTAAAAAATGATTTATTGTGCCAAAATCATTGTAAGCTTTACTCTGGGTATCCTAAATAGTCAAGATACTATTACACTATTGGAACTGTTTCTACTGAGAGGCTAGTAATTTTAGCAGGTCTTTTAATTGCTCCCAATATCTTTGCTTTATACAATTCAATAAATATTCTGTTTTAAGTGCATAAAGAGTATTAACTTCCTGTTTAGTTTTATATAATTCTGATGTAATCTTGCATATCTATGCAAGTTACTTAACTCCACCCCATTTTTGTTTAACTTTTGATTTTTTTCCTCATACATTTTAAACAGTAATACATGTATATTTCAAAGGAGTGCCAACCAATACATTTACAAAACGTGTGTGTGTGCATGTGTGCGTGTGCATGCGCGTGTATATATATATATAAGTGGAATGTTATGCAATGGCCAAGTCAATCACCTGACCTGAATCCCATATATATATATATATACACGCGCATGCACACGCACA